CCCACACTGTCTCTGGTGAGTCCTCTCACTGCCCACCCCCCGCACCTCTGGCCTGCATCCCAGTTCTTGTATGCATAAATAAAAAATAAATATTTTTAAAAAGGGGAGGTGGAACGAGACCAGCAGGCCTGTGACCCTAACCCAACAGTGGGCTGGCTGGGTCCTGCTTAGGACACATCCCTTTTGAGAAGATATTCAGGAGAAGATGAGAAATACTGACGTGGATACAGATGCAGCTGTCCATTATTTTTGGTTACTTTAATCATGACAACAGCAGACTCTGTGAAGTCCTGAAAAAATCCTTATCTTTTACAGATAAATACTGAGCTATTTAGCTTTAAAATGTAGGTCTTCCTGGACTTATGATGGGGTTCCACCCTGAAAAACCCAAGCAAGTTGAAAATACCATAAGCCATCTCTGGCAAGGCAGTACACCCAGATTCCTGGGGGTGTAACCTCATGATCACGGGGCTGACCCAGAACTGGAGCTCCCGGGCTGCCCAACACCCCAAGAGCATGGTGCTGCGCTGCCACAGTCTGCTGAAATGTGGCTTCTCCTGAATGTGCATCGTTTTCATCCAACACAGAATACTGCACAAGTCAAAGCATCCTAAGTCAGGGGCTGTCAGTAACCCAGAGCAGGTGGGTAGGGCGGAGATACAGAAAACCGGAGGCCATGGGTTAGTGCGAGTGAAAGCTTTTACTTTTATTTTACAAGGCGGCCAGAGATGATTGAGCCATGGCGACTCTCAGAAGACAGTTGATTACTTTCACCACTAAGTGCTCATAATCTGATCACACCTTTCTTCCGCTCAGAACTTGCCACAGTTTCACAGGGTAAAGCCACAAGGCCCCATTCAGGGGCACCCAGTCACCTCTTTTTTCTCATTTCTTTTTTTTTTTTTTTTTAAAGATTTATTTATTTATTTATACAAGCACTAGGTACAGTCAGAAGCGCAGGAGGGTGAGAGAATTCACCAGAGCCAGAGTGGGGAGCAGAGCAGGCAAACTAACGAAATTCACTGTTGAGGGGAGCAGCGGGCATGGCAAGAGAGGTCTGTTGCGCCATGTGGGACCCTCGCCGGTGGCCAGGGATCGAACCGGCGCTGCAGAGGCTGCGGGCAGCTTCGCAGTCCGGTGCTCAAACGCTGCACCACCAGGGGAGGCCCTCTTTTTTCTCATTTCTCCCCACTCTCTCCCTCTCCCGTGCCTCCGGGGACCTGCTCACCACTCTCGTGCCTGGGCTCACTCGCTTTAACCAATGGCACAAGGCTGAAGTGATGCCTCAGGGGGTCTATGCCTCAAGATGACAAAAAAGCCCTGGGCTGCCGTGTTATAATCTGGCTACTGGCTGACAAGTCCACATGGAAGGGGAGGCTCTGAGACCACATGGGGATACAAGGGCCCAGGCAGCCCCAAGGTGCCGTGTGAGTCAAACCATCTTGGGTGTTCCAGCCCCATCCACCCTATGACTGGAGCCACAAGAGACCCCAAAAGCAAGCCCAACAAGGGAGCTATCCAGATGCACCCCCATCAACCAGAGACTCATGAGAAATAATAAACTTGTCATTTTAGGACTCTAAGTTTCAGGGTGGCTCGTTACGTAGCAAGAGAGAACCACAATAAACCTCTCTCTGGGTACACCACTGCACTGTTTCATGAAGTCAAACATATTCTTTAACTCGAGTACCAGCTAAGAAAGAAATATGCCAATCGATCACAAACCCCTACCCAATCTCTTGTGTATTCTGATTTCCAACAAAGATTGCGAACGTGAAAAAAGATAAAACTTCTCTCTCGTTGTGTAATAAGCACGCAGAGCACAACTCATCTGAATGAAGGGTGCTGAATTTATTCATCGTTTTTTATAATTAAAATGCATTTGAAGTTGATGGTTCAACATCGAGCCAGACCTGGTGAGAACCCTCAGAAAACCCATCTCCTCTCTGGACGAGAGGCGTCATTAAAGCTAATGCTACTTCATACTCATTCTCGGTGGCTCAGAGCTTACATTAACAGGGTGGCTGAACAGGTTGGACACCTGCAATCTAATTAAAGAAGGCTATCAATAAAAATAATAATTTGGAGGGAAAAAAATAGAAACAAAGGGCACGCATGTCGGTGACGGCCTGGCCAAATAAACGCAGGGACACCTGTGCCCAAGTCTGTGGCCACGGAAAGAGCAAATCTGAGCGCGACTTGAGAATCTGGAGGCATTCCCAGATGGCACTGCCATGTGAGGAAAGCGAGATGCAGGAAAATGAGGGTAATAATGTCCCCTATAGGATCGTTCCCGCGCTAAGATTACGTAAGCATGGAGAAAACTGGGGAAAGCTCTGTACAGTACTGACTGCTACCAGGGCGAAGGGCTGTGGGAGGAGGCTGACATGGGGATGGCTCGCAAAGGAGGAGGAAGAGAGAGAATTTGAAAAAATTACAAAGGGACTTGAAATCAATTCATAAAAATCACCATGCCCACTTAGTAAGTGCTTTCTTGCACTAGACTGAGGCTAGCCAGGTCACCTGGTCTCACTTTGAATTCTCGTCTAATGCAGTTACTAGTAATGGTCCTCACTTCCAGAAAAGGAAACTGAGGTCCAGAGATCAGGACTGTGCCCAGAACTGGGGCAATGCCAGGACCTGAGCATTAGGTACAATGGCCTACCAGGAGGGTTCCCTACCCTAAAACCACTGCATTTGAAACTCGGGGCACAGTGAACTGCAGGAGCAGTTTGCACATTCTTAAAATAGCATCAGGCCCCAGGTGTGATGATGGCTGATCCACAGCACAAAGTCCACGGGCACCTCAGTCCCCGGAGCCCAGTGCTGCTGGAAGAAAGCTGAGGGCCACCGACCTTGGTTGGCGGAGCCTGGGGAAGCCCTGCCTGGGATATTTTTGCAGAATCAATTGCTGACACCAGGAGCCAGAAAACAGATGAGGAGGTGTCAGTTATTACACAGTCAGACTCTTTGAGCTCACCAGTTAATTAAAACCTGTTCAGCCCCAGAACAAGAATTATTGCCTGTTAAAGCAGGGGAGACCGATAAACTGTGCCCAGCCAGTTAATTCTTATTTCCCAGGCATCCCCTGACCTCCTTACTGCAGGCGCCCCACTCAGGGTCCGGCCGGAAAGCGAGCTCTCCCTGTACATGGGGATGTGTGTGAGGGTGGAGGCTCTGACAAAGCCTTCCCCGCTGAATTAATTAACCTGCATGCAGCCTCTCCACTCAGGCCGAGGCTGTTTGCTCCACGCCACAGGCACCAAGGCCACAAGGCTGGGTGCTGCAGGCAACCCGAGAGCCACTGGGTAGCCAAGGGGAGTGTGTGGGGAGGGGACCAGCCCCAGTCGTGGGCTTGAGGGGTGCTGACGTGGTAGTTGAGTCCCCTGTGGGGACAGACACCCTTCCTCAGGCCGTGCTATAGCCATTCATCTTCACACCACGTCATGAATTCAAAACAAAATAATTGATCCCACACCTACCACATGCCACTGCGCTACAAGGATAGAGACAGAAGCCCCTGTTCTTTCATGGGGCGCGGGGTGGGGTGGAGGGGTTGGGGTGGGCAGATAATAAATATATGTCGAGTGGCAAATGCTGTAAGAAAGCCACAGCAGAGAAAAGGGCTGGAGTGATGGAGAAGGTGCTAGCTATTTACGAAGGAGAGAGGTCTCATGCAGAAGGTGACATTTCAGCAGAGACTGAGGGGAAGGGGTGGGGTGGGGGGCATTGTTCCAGGCAAAGGGAGCAGCTGGGGCAAAGGCCCTGAGGCAAGAGGAGGAGCCCAGTGGAGCGGGGTATACCCAGCAGCAGTGGAGGAGCGAGAGCTGAGGTCACACAGGGAGTGGAGGAAGGGGCAGCAGGAAGGGAGGCTGGGGGTACAGAGAGAGTTGACAGGGACTACCCTGTGCCCGGGCTGTGAGCTCTTCACTGATAAGATTCAATTCCCTGGAAAGGTGGGTGAGTACTGCTCCCACTTCTGTTTCATCAGATGAGGCCACTGCGGCCCAGAGAGGGAAAGGCACTTGCCAGGACCAGGCTGGGGTGCCCAAGGCCCTGGCACAGAAATCTGCCTCCCGCGGGAGCTCAACTAAACAGCCCCGGATTGCTTCTCTGGGAGAAATAGCCTCCATTTTCTTCTCACTCGCTCAACACTCCACCCACCCTTTCTTCACAGCTAGGAGCAGACAGGTAAACATTTCATGGGAGAGGAGAGAGAAGAAAAACAAAAGAGCCACCAGTCTCATTCCCCGAAAAGAAGAAACTCGGCGCCAACTTTCTCCCCGCGACAAGCCACTCCAGCAACTTCGCAGGCCCACGCGACTCACCTGAAAGGCGGCGGGGCATGGCCAGCCTGGTCACAAAGCAGGCAGGGGATGGTGGGGGGGGGGGCCTCCGCAACCTGCCTGCTCCAGGGCCCCCTGGGGTGCTGCCCCCAGCCCGCTGCGGGTGTCTGGAATGCGGAAACAGGAACCTGCCGTGCCAGCTGCTCGGTGACTCCTCCGCCCACCACGGGCACCAGCCGGAGTTCCCCGAGGTGCTGGGCTCGCAGAGAGGCGGGCGCGCTCCCAGAGGGGGCTGTTTTGCCAACAGTCCCTTTGGGGAAGGGAATAAAAGGCCCCAGACACGTGGTCTGCGAGGCCTGAATGGGCTCAAGATGAAGAGAAAGCTCAAAGGTAACAAAGACGCGGGCCTGTTACCTCCGAGAGGGGAACGGCCACCTGTTCGCTGAGCGAGCCAGGGCTGGCTCCGCGCCCACAGCCTCCCCTGCCGGGGGCCTGCGCCCGCCTGCTGCATTCACATCCTCACATCCATAGGTGGGCTCTCTCCCCCTGCAGGCCGCAGCTTGCCCGCAGAGCGGGGGCAGCTGTGAGTAAGGCTGCTGCGCCCCCCTGGGCAGGCGACCACCACCACGGGACAAGGGACACTGAGTGCTCCCTGCGCAGGGCACTGCTCTAAGCACTTCCTGTGAATGATAATGAATCACCCCCTGGACTCACAGCGCCTCTCTAAGAAGGAGCTATAGGAGCATTCTTAAGCTGCAGATGGGAAAGCAGAGGAAGAGAGAAGTCCCAGGCTGGAGGGCGCACAGCGGAAGTGCTGGCCTGGAGAGTTCACGTGGACACAGGGTCCAGCTCTTAACACTACACACGATCTCTTCTCCAGAGGGGAGGCAGGTCCCTTGCTCCAGCTCAGTTTCCTTACCTGTAAAATGGGATGCATGTGAGGAGTCGGTGAGATATTTATGGTGAGTGCTTAGCCAAGCCCACATAAAATGCTGTCTGTCTACCTACCAGCAGCAGTTGTACACTGCCTTAGATTCAACCCCATCACCTTATTCCTCAGAATAGGGCTTTAAATTCTGGGCAGCTGAAAGAAGAAAAAAAAATATATTTTTAAAGATTTATTTATTTATACAAAACTGAGGCCAGAGGTGGGGGGGGGGGAGAGGATTCTCCAGAGACAGAGAGGGGAGCAGAACAGGCAGACTGACTGAAACACACTGCTGAGGGGAGCAGCGAGGGAGTCAGGAGAGGTCTGCTGTGCCATGTGGGTAGCTCCCTGGCTGGGCACTGAACTTGTGCTGCAGTGGCTGTGAATAGCTTCATAGGTTGTGTCTTACCCATTTGTGCCATCAGAGAGGCCCAGAAAAATAAAAATCTTATTGCCCTTCTTTCCATCCACAAAAAGATTCTGAGTCAGGCACCCTTTAGGACAGAGTGGTCAACAAAAAGCACACAGACCCTGCCCTCAGGGAGCTTACAGTCTCCTGTGAAGGAACTGGCACAAAACACTGAACGAACAGTAGACAGAGCAGCATTCGTAGCAGGGGCTCACTGTGGGCAAGGCCCAGCAGCCTTCTATGCGCTGGACATGCTTTTCAATGCAGTGAACCCTCCCAGCCATCTAGGCCAGTACCATTCCCTGCCCCACCTCATAGATATGGACATGGAGACACTGCAGGGCAGAGGGCTCGCCAAGATCACACTGAAGAGCCTAACGGGGATCGGGGCCTTGTACCCTTGGCACTTCATCCCTCAACCCCCGAGTCCACGGGGCAACCACTTTCACCTGTGAAACACGCACCCACAAGAATCTCAGTCTGCCAAATAGATGGCCACTGTGGCAGATTACAGGGAGGAGAGGGCAGGACTGTTCGATGACTCAGTCACATTTCTATGTGGCAGAAGCCACTTCTTGAGCACTTAACCAAGTGCCGGTTACTGGGGATAAGCACTCGACCTGCACCCTCTCCTCACCCACCCAACTGTCCTAGGAGGCAGTCCTCAGGGTGGGGAAACCGAGCCTCTGCGAGAACAGCTTGAAGTGGAGAGGGCGAGGAACAGAGACCCTGCACTTCAGAGTGTGGCCTTGTCACCTGGCCTGGGTTTCTCTGAATTTTCAAACAAGATATTTGGTTTCCGCTCACTGAGCTGAGTCCCATGCAGGGCCTCTGTGTGTACATCCTTGAAGTCGTGGACATAAAACCAGGCAGAAAAAAACTTATGTCCTGATTCAGGTAATTATAAAACAAAGCTGGAGAGTACCCAGTGTACGGGTATTGGGTGTCCACTTTGTTTTGCTAATTTCTGCAAGAGATCCAGTGGTTTGCCAATCCATTATCCACTCCCTGGCCCAAAGCTTCTCTTAGGTCTTATCCCTGTAGCCACTCTCCTCCAGCAGTCACGTGCTTCAGGTAAGGAAGGTGGCAGCCTGAAAGTAAACCCCGATTGGTCAGTGGCTGTGATCTCAAAGGCATGATCCTGTGTCATAATACTGGCCAGTGACATGTGAGGGGCATCTAGGAGGCGGGGTCTACGAAAGGTTTCCCAGCTCTTCAAGAGCGAGATGCTCTCTTTCTGTTGCTGAAACCAGCCTGTCAGGTGTGACAACTGGAACTGTGGCAGTCACCTTGTGACCATGAGGGAGCTGAAGCCACAGAAAACACACCAGGAAAAGCAGGGAGGGGTAGGCTCCTTACGGTCACATGTTGGAACTTAGTGAACCCTGGTCCTATCTCTGGGTGTCACTGCTACTTGATATCACCAATCTGATTTTCAGGTCATTTCAGTTGCATTTCCTATGATCCTAGATTACTCATTCTCAAAACATCCTTCCTGGATCAGGGCCACCAGCACATCTGGGGGCTTGCTGGAAATGCGAATTTTCAAGCCAGACCTACAGAATCAGAAACTCCGGGTGGGGCAGCAATCTGGGTTTTTCCAAACCCTCCAAGGGACTCTGATGCCTGCTCTAGTTAGAGAGTCACCTCAGAAGCACACATGGATGGGGGTCAGAGTGGGGCCTCTGGCTGGAGTCAGACTCTGGAGCCAATTCACATCACCACCATTTTCTACCTGTGTGACCCCGGGCAAGTTATTTAAAATTTTAATTGCTTCCAAGTATATGCAATGGCTCAAGGACAGTTTGTTCAATAAATGGTGCTGGGAAAACTGGACCGCCACATGCAAAAGAATGAAACTAGACCATTATTACCTGACACCATGCACAAAAATCAACTCAAAATGGATAAAAGAACTGAGCATAAGACCTGAAACCATAAAATATATAGAAGAAAACATAGGTAAAACACTACAAGGCATACATCTCAGCAACATCTTTAAAGACTCGTTCCCCACAGTAAAGAAAGTGAAGGAAAAAATAAACAGCTGGGATTACATTAAACTAAAAAGCTTCTGTACAGCAAAAGAGACAGTAACCAAAACAAAGGGACGCCCCACTGAAAGGGAGAAGATATTTGCACTCTACACAACTGATAAGGGATTGATCACAAAGATATACAAAGAAGTCACACAACTCAACAAAAACAAAGTAAACCACCCAGTCAAAGAACTTTTTAAAAGACATTTCTCCAAAGAGGAATCGCAAAGGGTCAAAAGACATGAAAAAATGTCCAACAGCCCTCATAATCAGGGAAATGCCAATCAAAACCACAATGAGATACCACCTTACACCAGTGAGAATGGCACATGTTTAAAAAACTAGGAACAAATAATGCTGGCAAGGATGTGGTGAGAAAGGAACGCTCCTACGCTGCTGGTGGGAATGCAAACTGGTCCAACCACAATGGAAAGCTGTGTGGAGAGTCCTCGGTCTATCAAAAATGGAACTACCATAAGACCCAGCAATTCCATTCCTACGGGTCTACCCAAAGGACACAAAAACTTTAATTCAAAAGGATACCTGCACCCCTGTTTATTGCAGCACTACTTATAAAAGGAAAGACTTGGAAACAACCCAAATGCCCAAAAATAGGTGACTGGATCAAATAAATGTGGTATATATACACAATGGAATACTATTCGGCAATCAAAAAGGATAAACTAATGCCATTCGCAGCAACATGGATGGAGCTGGAAGGGATTATGCTCAGTGAAATAAGACAGAAGGAAAATGAAACACCGGATGTTGTCACTTATAGGAGGAATATACGGGAAATGAATTAAAGGGTCAGGGAAACAATAAAAAACAAAATGAAACAAAACAAAAATAGACAATTATAAAGCAGAGACATTCTGCAGGGGAAGAGGAGGCAGAGGGAGAGACGGGCAGGAGGAGCACAGGGGACTGTGGTGATAGCGCACAGGTGAACTGGTGGTGGAAATTCTATGGGGACGACACCTGAGAAAAGAAAGCAAACAGCAAAAAAAATTTTTAAATGATGAAAAATAAACAATGACGTAAAATATATTAAAAGAAAATAAATAAATTTAGTTGCTTCCTCTGCAAAGGGCTTGTTGGGAGGCAGAAATTCCCTAGCACGGTGTCTAGCCTAGAAGAGACAGACCAAGCACCTACCTGCTGCTGCTGCTGTTCTGTTGCTATTATTACTGCTGACAGCCAAAGGCATGCCAGCTGACACTTCCTGAATGGGCTCCCCTAAAGCTGGATCCATAACTCCTTTCTGTTTACCAGCCCAGTCACCAGGTAGGGGAGTCACACACAGGAACGGCTGACTTTCTTTCCCCTAAGTCCAGACCAGTCTACTCAGACCATCTCCCACATTCTGCATCTGTGCAGTCCCAGCGGGCACTCCCATGGACACCCCAGGCTGGGCACTTTGCCAGCTCAGTTATGGATCCAGCATGCTCACAAGTGCCACCCTCCCCCAGAGAGCACTCCCACCACGTGAGTCATGCCTAACATGGGGCAAGAGTCTTGGGGTGCCCTTCCCTTGGGGAGCTATCTGTGATTTCAAAACGGGTGGCATCAAGATGCAGAAAGCCAGAGTGACTAACAGTCCCTGGTAAGGTCCACCAGGAAGAGGCGGCCCGTTGTCAAGTCTCAGGGCGGCAATGGGTTTGGGGCTCTGGGTGAGGCAGGGGTTTCTGACACTGTCTGGCCTGACGCTGAAAGGAGAGGTGGGGACGCAGGAAGAGGCGGGCAAAGTCTTCATCTTTGCCCACCAGCTCCTGGGGCAAGAAAGGACTGGTTGATGTCTGTGCTCCAGGAAGGAAGCTGACCGGCTGCACCTCACAAGTTGCTACTCTGCAACCATCCTTGACCCACAAAAAGGCAGTTTCATATGGTTTAACCTAACATGGTTCAGAAAACTCACCCAAATAACGCAATGTCAAGGAGCTGGGGACCAGCAGGAAACAGAGGGCGGCCTCAGAGGCAGGGGCCTGTGTGTGTTCTCCTGGCTCCACGCACATGTGGTCACTATTCAAAACGGAACAAAATTCAACCAACCCACCCTGCAACAGCTTCCCCTCTCCGCAGAGAAGAGACAAACTGCGCTGAACCCTAGGAGATCTGCGAACCTGTCATCGCTCTCCTCCCTCACAACTCTCCTTGCCAACTCCTCACTCTCAGTGTCTCCGGCCTCTGCTCTGGCTGTTGCCTCTACCCAGACACCCCCAGTGCTCACGCGGCCTCCGTCTCCTTCAGGCCTGTGCTCAAGCCACCTTCCCCGGAAGGCCGCCCCCGGCCACTGATTAAAATCTCAACATCCTTCACCCCCATAGCCCCTTGGCCCACTTAGCTGCTTGTGCTGAGCACTGACTGCTCTCTGACAGAGTACATATGCTCCTTGTTCATTTTGTGTCCTGTCTCAATCACCCACCTGCCTGAGCACCCCGGGAGGGGAGGGCCTTTCAGCCTCGCCCACTGCAGTATCCCTCGTCCCCAGAACAGGACTCAGCTCAGTGAGTAAAAGAACAAAAAGATCTAAAACTCAGATGTAGGGGCCTCTCTGGGGGCCAAGAGATTACACGTCAGCACTGTGAAGCTGGCCAGAGCCACTGCAGCACGAGTTCGATTCCCGGCCAGGGAGCTACCCACATGGCGCAGCAGACCTCGCCTGTCTTGCCCGCTGCTCCCCTCAGCAGTGTATTTCATCAGTCTGCCTGTTCTGCTCCCCACTCTGTCTCTGGTGAATCCTCTCACCCCCTCACCTCTGGCCTGTACCCCAGTTCTTGTATGCATAAATAAATAAATCTTAAAAAAGAAATTCAGGTGCAGCACCAGTATTTGGGGTTTGCTGCCCTTGGACTCGACACGTTCCATATCCTATTGGGAAATGGAAAAATCAAGCCACCTGAACTGGGGACAGTGCCCGCTCCATGCTGGCTCACCTCAGAGCCTTTTCAAGGAAAAGGCAGCCCAGGATCGGGGAGTTTGAGGAAGCCGTAGGGACCACAGGACTTTCCTGCCTCCCTCCCCGCCCGCTAAGAAGATGGCAGAGAAGCAGGGCACTGGAGAACAGAGGGCACCTCTGATGAAACAGGGCAGCGGCCTCCACCCAGCTCTACACACCCGGTAAGCAAAGGATCAGCAGACACCCCCTCAAAGAGAAGGCACCCCCTTTCCTGCCGCTTCCACGCAAGGAATTCCACCACACACTGACTCACTGCTCAGTTAAAGATCCCAAAATAACAAGCGCAATAGGACCCCTGCACAAGGTGAGGGGTGCACATTTGTTATAAAGGCATTTGGGTGGCAGGGCTTGCTGGGATGGACCCCCAGGTCTGAGGCACTACCATAAACAGCATCTAGTTCCTTTCTTCCTTTCACTGAACGGGGGCACCTCGCTGCCTCCAGCCCGCCCTCCCACTGCACGCTGCAGGCAAACCAAAGGCTGGATCCAGCTGCCAGGTGGGGCCTTAACAAAGATCCATCAGAGGGAGGATCTGGGCTGTCTGTCCTGAGGGCAAGAAGGTGGGGGGGGGGGGAATCTGAGGCCTCAAGTAGTAACAAGTCTTTGGAAAAAATGTGGGAGGGGCCCCACAGTCAGGTGCTGGAGAGAAACAGATCTTAGCAAAGAGGGACTCAGCAGGGCCTCCCTGCTGGCTCAGGCGATTGAGCGCAGAGCTGAGAGCTGTAAAGCTGTTCGCAGCCTCTGCAGTGCCACTTTGAGCCCTGCGAAGCCGTTCGCAACCTCTGCAGTGCCGGTTCAATCCCCGCCGGCCTCGGAGCAACCACATGGCACAGCAGACCTCTCCTGCCTTGCCCCCTGCTCCCCTCAGCAGTGTATTTCGTTGGTCTGCCTGTTCTGTTCCCCGCTCTGTCTCTGGTGAATCCTCTCACCCTCCCATGCATCTGGACTGTACCCTGGCTCTTGTATAAATTAAAAAAAAAAAAAAAAAATCTTAAAAAAAAAAAAAGAGGGACTCAGCAAACTGACTCAGAGGTCAGGCCCAGCCTCTCCAGTGGCCTCTCTGCAGCCGGACACCTCATCATAAGACGGGGTTTCCAAAGCTCCGTGCCAAGTACTGACTCACATAATGAAGAGAAAAAAACCTTTTATACACAAGTGGCGGGGCAGAGGCAGGAAATTCCCCTACAGGTACAATGGAAATTGAAACACACAATGCTGAGTGAAATTCCTTGTATTTGTTTTTTATTTTTCACGATGAGACATTTCAAACAGGCAAGGGTGAAAAGAAAGGTAGAACAACCCCCACTGCCCAGCGTCAACACTTAGCAGCCCAAGGCCAAGTTTATTTCATCTCCCATTCCCTCATACGCACCTGCCCCCCGCCACTCCCGGCCCTTCCATCTCGTGAAGCAAACCCCAGACATCGTAGCAGCTCGTGCATAGAACTGCATTTTAGAACGCACGTCTTAAAGACGCGAGAACTGTGTTCTTAAGCAGAGCCCACTATCGTTATCAGTGTTAACCGTCATCACTTAAAACCAAACAAGAATTCGGGCCTCCCCGGTGGCGCAGCGGTTGAGCGATGGGTTGGAAGCTGCCCGCAGCCTCTGCAGCGCCAGTTCGATCCCCGGCTGCTCCCGCTGCTCCCCGGCCACCAGAGGAGGGTCCCACATGGCGCGCAGACCTCTCCTGCCGCCCGCTGCTCCCCTCAGCAGTGTGTTTCGTCAGTCTGTCTGTTCTGTTCCCCACTCTGGCTCTGGTGAATCCTCTCACTCTCCCGTGCTTCTGACTGTACCCAGTGCTTGTATGTATGAATGAATGAATGAATGAATGAACAAATCTTTTTTTAAAAAAAAAAAAACTAAACTAAACAAGAATTCCTTAATATTAAGCGCCCAGGTAGTCTTCATTTTACAGACGGGAGAAAGGCGGATTCTAGAATCACAGGAAAACCCCAAAAGCCTCCTGACCCGGAAGGACCTGGAAGCTACAGCAGGGCTACCCAAAACAGGAGCTCAGAGGCCAGGACTAGTCAGTATGACTCGGCTCCCCCAACCTCTTTGTCCATCTGTCCATCCACAGAGGGACTGCAGAGTGGGCGGTGAAGAGCTGAGACTCTGGAGCAGGGGTTTGGCTTTGGATCTTGGCTTTGAGACTCCCCAGCTTTGTGGCTTGTACTTCCCTGGACCTCACTTTTCCTTTCAGGAGACAGGGGAGTGGTGGCAGTATCCACCCCGCGGAGTACTGATGAAGACTGAAGGAGTTATCACATGAACAGCGCGCAGGGCAGCGCCGGTGTACAGGGAAAGCTCGGCACTGCAAGCACCATTCATTTGCCAACACATGTCTGAGCATCTTTACAAGCCGGGCACAGGACAGCAGGAGGAGGAAAGTGATGACGAGCTGAAGACGCTCAAAATTCTCATGGCTCACCACCTGGGCACAAAGGCTAGTCCAGGCCACCGGCTGGGGGCGTGATGAGACTCAGAGTGTCCAGCCTCTGCCTGGTTTGGGCAGGAAGACTGGGATGGGGAACCCTAAAAGTCAAGACAGACACTAGAGGAAACCACTGTGCCCTGCACCCCTCCCCGGCATGGTCCCCACTCTGGATGAGCAAGGGCAAGATTCACACACTGCGGAGGAGCTGCTGTTGCCACTGTTGCCGAGTTCGCAGGATGATGCCACACAGCTCCCACAGGAGGCCCAGCGGTGAGGACGAGCAGCAGATGAAGAGGAAGAGGCGGTTTAGAAATGAGCTCCCACCAGCAGGCACGAGCCCACTCTCACCTCCCCAGCTTTCTCCCCAAGCTCCGAAGACCCCATTCTTACTCCTCTGTTTATTTGTTTGTTTGTTTCCCCTGTGTTGACACTGTTTCCCCTCTATTTCCCGCACACCCAGAGCTCAGGCTAAGGAGCGGCTCTGTCATTTACTCAGGTCTACACCAACACAAACGTGAGGCTCGGCGCCGACACCGTCCAGGAGTCCATACAGGGTGATGAGTTTCTGTCACGGCTTTCATTGTTCAAAAC